TTTTGAAGCGGGTTATGGATGCTGCTGCAGAGCATGAGGTACCTTACAAATGCATGTCACATTTTTAGTTTAAAAGCCTTTTGACTTTGGTAAAGAAGCAAAGAAAAGGCCCAGGAAAAGTGCCACAGAGTGATGAGAGTCTTCAATCAAAACTTTTGGAACCGTTATTTTTTTCTTTTAAATATTGCTTCCCAGAATATATTATTTTATGTCAACATGGTGAACTTTAATTTTTATAAATATTGAAAACAAATGATGGGAAAGAGAAGAGCTTTTTTCAACTTAAAGTTATGTTGTTCCAACATTCTAGATTAAAACTGGAAAACTAGATTGCATTTCTTTACTTTGAAAACCTTCTGTTTATTTTCCTATGGCCGCAATCCATGAGACATTTGGTTTTTAGTATACAATAACATAGCTTTAAGAATATTTACACCAGCAAGATTGTCATTGCACCAACAAATGAAAGCACATGAAAAGGTTGATTAAATCACAAGAAACTCAATACCTTGTTGAATATATTTTGAACTATTAACGGTGAAGATTGTAACAAAAAAACTTATGAGCTGAACAATGCTGCGCGCAGAATGCCAGCTGAGATACTCGGACTGGGCTGGGGTGACTTCTTTTCCAAAGACTGGAAACTGAAACCTGGAGTCAAAGTGGAATCAATGCACCTCAAAATAAGACTGTTGCGAGTGGTGAAAAGCGTTTCAACAAAAACGTATTCTGCCGATCAAGAAGCTACAGACAGGGTGAAAATTTGGGCGCACTAGATAAGAAAAATCATTTTAAAACTAACCTAGTGCTTGCCTGCCAAAAGTGGCCATGGGAAGGAGTAGCCCTCTCTACAGCTGCGAGATGGAATTGTCTGCAAACCTGCCTAACAACACCAGAAGCAGATGCTCGAAGCCTGAAAGCAGAAGCAAATGCATTAGCTAAGCACGCCAAGGTGGATGCCTCGTCAGTGGGCGCCATGCAACATTCAATGCCTCAATCAAAGGCAGAAAAGAAACACTATTGTGAAAACCACAAATGTAAACAAGCAGTAGCAGACGCAAATGCAACTCTATGACAAATGGGTGAGAGGAAGGGTAGAGGGGAAAGGGGCGGGGCAGCGGGGGGGGGGGGAGGTTGAGCTCACGGCCTCGGCTCCGCATGCTTCGGCTTGGCTCGGCTCGGCTGCGCTCGGCTCGTACGGTCAGCCTATGGCTAGGCAACCAGGACACTTCCCGGTCAGAGTGGTTGCGTACCTTCCAGGCGCTCGAACGGAGCCGCAGGGCGCCAGGGTCGTATCGAGTGGTCACTTTTCGACGCAAGCCGAACTCCTCACTCTGTCTCTCTCGCGCTCACGGGGTGTTCCGCAGGGGTCCGAGAGAGACAGGGCGAACAGGGCAGGCGGCGAAATCTCGCCTGCCCTGCCATCCCCTGCGCCCGACACGCATCCGCACGCATCCGCACGCACGCGGTGGCGCGACCGCAGGGCGCACGGGCTGCGCACGCACTGTGCACGCACTGAGCACGCAAACGCACGCAAACGCACGCAAAATGCACGCAAAATGCACGCAAAACGCACGCAATCGCACGCAAAGCATTTCACCTCGGGCAGGTCTATCGAATGAGGGATTTATTTGAATCATACAGCACCGGCCACCTCGTTGATGGAATAATTGTTTCAAGCATGGCAAGCGGGGACGTCCATTAACAAAGGAACGCAGTCTTCGACCCTTGAAGACCCGCGCATTTGACTTGTGATTGCCATTAACTAGTATGAAAGAGCACCGGCAACAACAAATACAACAAACGACGAACGCAAGCTATGTTTCTCATACCGAGTTAGGCCGGGCACAAACGAGGTCCCTATCATACAACCACCCAAAAACGACCGAGACGAAACCCACATCCAACAAATGTCACGTCACATCATTGGATGATCTTGATTATGGTTCCAGCCGGTCGGACAAACAACTGTTGAAGACGGGCCGGTCGATAAATGTTGTGCCGTTCCCGCTCGCTGTCAATCGGCATCAAGATGTCCGCCTCCGCGGTTCGAATGAAAGAAAGAAAGAACGCAGCTAGCCTCGCCACGCGCCAATTCTCGAAGCGAATCGGTCGATCGCTACGAACACCGTCGCCCCGTGCACACTTGAATCTGGCTTGTGAGCAGTGCAGACCAGCCGACGGGGCAACCACTCGTGAAATTCTGTGTCCCCTTAAGTGCCCAAAATCGCTGAAAGTCCGAAATCTTCCTAAAAAAAGCTATACTCAAGCAAATCCTGGGACGTAATATCGGTCTGAATCCGAGGAAATCTCTTTTCTTGAGAAAAGATCCACCCCCAAGCACCGAAAGTGGTGGCCCACTCGAGACCGGCGGACATCTCCACCATGAGGTCATCCCCGTTCGTCCTGGTGTCCAGTGTGCTGGGCGTGCTGGCGTGGGGCGCGCGCGCTGCTCTCTCGCCGCCCCGCCTACAGCGGCCGCCCGAGGCCGGGTGCGCGTTGTCGCTGGTGACGTCGCTGCTCAGCCACGCCCAGCACCCCCGCCTGTTCGTGGTGGGCGCCGTGCCCTGGCTGGGCCCGTTTCTGGCCGGCCTGCCCGCCACCGCCGCCGTCACCCTCCTGCCCGACGACCCCAGCCAGTGGCGGGACGCGACCGGCCGCATGAACGAGGACGCCACCCTGGTCCTGGTGGTGGCGGAGTCCCTCTCCGGCCTGGAGCAGACGGCGCCCGTCGCCACCATCCCCACCATGACGAGGGTCGTCTTGTGGGCGAGTGCGCTTCCGGACAGTGCGACGGACCTGCTCATCAAGCTGCACTGGAAGTGCCTGCTCAAGGCCCTGCTCGTCCTGACCGCCCCCGACGGCAGCACCACCGCCTACAGCAACCCCTGCAACTGCGGCCTGATGCCGCTGCCCGTGGTCAAGGAGGTAGACCGCTGCGGCCCCCAGCGCGCTTGGCAGCATCCCGGCAGGACGTTGTTGACGACGTGCCCGGCGGCGCGGCGGCCCGGCGCCAACGGCGTCCTTGTCGCACTCATCCAGCCGTTCTTCCTCTCGTCGCGCCTGGACAACTGGGCGGACAAGGCGGAGCGGCAGCTGCGGGACTTCGCCAGGCACCACGGTTTCATCCTGTCAACAACCCGACTAACACGAAAAGAAGCACTGGTAAAGGCCTTTGACCGAGGGGGTATGCACTCGCGTAATAGTCGGTTCACTCTATCTGTAATAGCACGCGTAATAATACGCGTAATAGTCGCGTAATAGCCAAAATTGTCAAAATTTTATCAATTTTGGTGTGTTTTAGGCCGTTTTTATCTAAATTCCGATTAATTTGTGGCGTAATAGAGCGTAATAGCGTAATAGTCGGTACACAGGTTCAGAGAGCGCATACCCCCTCGCCTTTGACGCTGTAAATAAGTGCCCACCGGACATCCTGGCGAACATTTTCGTGTTGAGTTCCTTCTACTCCGGCTGCTCGTTCCCCTGGGGCATGAAGCGCGTCTTCGCCGTGGTGCCCAAGGGCTTCCTGGGCCGTCGTGGAGGGCCCCTGGCCGCGCTGCTGGGCGAGTTCACGGCGGCCATGTGGTTGGCGACGGTGGGCGCCACGTTAGCCGTGGCTGCACTGCTGTTCGCGGCGCAAGGCCCGGTCGTCTGCGACGCCGTCAAGGCCGTGCTGCAGGCGTCCGCGCCTCTCCTCGACCAGCCCCCCGGCAGGCTAACGCCACAGCAGAGGACCGTGATGGGTGTCTGGCTGCTCGCCGGCGTGGTCCTCACCGCGTCCTACCAGGGACAGCTCCTCAGCGAGCTGACCGTCGGCCACCCCAGCGCGGACATCAACTCCCTGGACCAACTCCGCGCCAGCAACCTCGCCGTCCTCATGTACAGCCCGGTGCACGAGGCCCAGTTCCCCCTGAAGGAGTTGGGGCTGGCTCACAGGGTGCAGTACCCGGCCAACTCCACCGCGGACATCGCCAAGTACATCGCCGAGAAGCGCAACGCCACGACGTTCATGAGAGGGGAGATGGCGTTGGAGGTGGCGACGGTGTCGGCCGGTCTCCACGTGTTCCAGCTCTCCATGGCGCAGTCCACGACGTACTACTCGCTCCAGTGCGGGTCGCCTCTCCATGCGAGCTTCAAGAAGTTCCTGGGCCGCAGCCGCGCCGCTGGCATTAGCGCCTACCTGGCCGGCGGGAAAATGCGCCTGCCCTGGGTGGAGGGGCCTGCCCTGCCCACGAAGCCCGCGCCCATCAGGCTAGCTCACGTCCTCCCCGCACTGCACCTACTGCTAGCGGGCTGGCTGGGCGCCGGTCTCGTGCTGTGTCTGGAGGTGTTGGTGTTCAGGTTCAGCGGTAGGCGTGTTTCGCCCCATCACTTTTCAGAAGAGCGCAATGACATCCTTTTAATGTCATTGAGAAAGCCTTAACACAAGGTAGGTTTACGCCAGACCGCGTCTTGTCGTAACAGGCTTCGCGATGTCTCGCTGCCTGTTCCTCCAATCCACGCCTGGCGCACCTACCTTGGCCTGCGGCGCTAGCCTGCCTGCGGCAGGCAATGGCTTGTCCATTGTCGGTTATTTTTTAACTTGTTGAAACCAGTGTTGCGATACCCGATTTGTCGCTTTTCCCACGCAGGGCCTCAAAATTTCCCATTTTCCTCCAAAAAATCCCACATCTGCAAAATTGCTTAGATTGACGATTTGACACGCATTTTCACTTTAAAATGGGTTAAATATGCTAATTTAAGAGTTTCCTGATGGAATATAAGTGATTGAGAGCGTGCAGGAAGCTTGTTTTCTTCCTGTTCTGGCGAATCACAGCGCGCTAAGGTTGGTAACACGTGTGGAGTGGTGGTGGGGGCCTCACTGCCTTCTCGCCTGAGCCGTGCGTGCTGCAGCTTGTTGTTCCTGTGTTTTTGCTGTGCCCGCGAACATACGAAAATTTTTTCCTGAACTTGGTGAGTACTATGACAGGAACATCATATGGAATGTGTTCTTTGGTGGACTATTCTTGGAACGAAGCTTTATAGACGATATATTTTGTCTAGAATGGCTTGGTTAGGGACGGTTGACTAGGTTAGTTTTAGTGTGTGTGTTGACAAACTCGGTTTTTCTTTTAGATATCTAATGGATTTCGACGATGAGGAGTACCGGGTGGAAAACCCAGATGCTGTGGAGGAGGTGGAGAACAATGTAGTTGATGACGTTGATGACGATGACGACAATCAGGCTGAGGAGGAGGCACTGAATACACCGCCCAAGAAGAAACGCAAGAGCAATCCATCAACATCAGGTGGGAAGAAAGCATTCCAAACCTCGTGGATGCTATTGGACATTTTCAAAGGTTGGTTACGACCATGTCCAAATGATCCTTATACCGCTATTTGCACTGCCTGTGATGATAAAAAACTTAAGAGTGGAAAAAGTGAACTAGAGAGACATGCGGCGACTGGCTTCCATCTGAAAAAAGTAAATGCACTGAAAGGACAAAAAACACTGGATGCCTTTAGCACTGCCGCCAACTCTGCCAGGCAAAAGCACGTAGATGCTGTGAAGAGTGCTGAGATAAAATTGGCTTCTTTCTTCGTCGACCATAACGTCGCATTCCTTGCCTCTGACCACCTAGCTGAAGTTCAAAAGCAAGCTTTTCCTGACTCCAAGATAGCCAAAGATATGACTCTGGGCCGCGACAAGTGCAATGCAATTGTACGAAATGTGATAGCTGACGTTGAAACTGAGGAAATAGTAAAAGATCTCCAAACTAATCTTTTCTCTGTAATGGTTGACGAAAGCACGGACTCTGGAAGCGACAAAAACTTGTGTGTCGTAGTCAATTACATTTATCCCAAAAGCAAGAAGCCCCGAGCGTGTCTCCTGGAGCTGGTGCGCTTGGATGCGAAAGACTGTTCTGCAGCCAAACTCTGGGAAGCGTTTGAGCAGTCTTTGCAGAGACTGTCAGTTCCTGTTACCAATGTGGTTGCGCTAGCCTGTGACAGCTGCAACACAATGGTTGGCCAGTACAACTCTTTTTGGTCTAGGCTCAAGGCTGCATGTCCATGGGCCCTCCTCTTGCCATGCGCCTGCCACTCGGTGGCCAAAGTGTCTGAAAAAGCATGTTCAGAACTTCCGGACTTCGTTCAGGACCACTTGCGCAAGGTTGCTACTTACCTGACTGGAAGCCCTAAAAGGAGCAAAGAGTTAATGGAATTTCAAGAGTATTATCAAGAGGAGCTCAAGAAGATTATCAAGCCGTCCGGAACCCGCTGGCTTGTGCTTCATCAGTGTGTGGCCCAATATTTGAAAATCCGGAAATCTCTTTTGGCCTTTTTTGAACTCAGGGTTTTTGAGGATGCAAGAGACAAAACGGCGCAGCGCATATTACAGGACCTAAAGAATCCATACACACATGCTTACATGGAGTTTCTCAATTATGCCTTGGATTTCACCAACGAGTTCAATGCTTTGTTTCAATCAAATAAAGTAATGATCCACAAGCTGGCTGAAAATTCTCAGACATTGATGGAAAATTTGTGTCAGAACTTCATCAAGTCCACCGAAATGGACCGCATTGCCACTATGGACCTTGCTCACCCAGATAACCAGGTAAAGTGTCAGTCATTCCCCAAGACCGGCGTACATGTATGGGATCAACCTAATTGATTTTGTTATGTTACAGCTGCCGTTGGAAAAATTATACTTAGGGCCGGGCTGCAAGGAGGTGCTTGACAATTTGCCACCGTACCCACCAGGCAGGGCGCCGGCGGCAGCGCTGGCCCTCCAGCTGGAGAAGGATAAGGAAACCTTTAAAGCCAAGTGCCGGGACTTCTATGTGAGAGCCGCGAAGGAGCTGCGTGAGCGGCTCCCATTAAACGACCCGATTTTCAAGGAAATGGCTTTCATAGACCCTGAAAAGCTTCTCTCCCATGATGTTCGGAGTGGCTCTGACGGTCTGTCAGACCTGCCCCTATTGTGCTCAAAATTCAAGGTCAGTATTGTTACTCAAATTTTTAATGCACTTATACTTAATACTTTAAAAAATCTAATATCCTCGAGTTTTTGCTTTAGGAAAAGTTGCAACTGGATTCCAATGCCCTTGCAACTGAATGGAGAAAATTTCCAAATATCATCAAGGGAGCTGCCAGGGAAAAATTGCTTAAAATGACTGTTGAAGAGGCGTGGGTGGAAATTGGCTCTATGAAAAATGGCAAAAATGATCCAATGTTTCCAGAGTTGACAAAGTTAGCCAATCTTGTCATGATTCTGCCTCACGCTAACGCGGAATCAGAACGGGTGTTCTCAGTCGTGACTGACGTCCGAACCAAGAAAAGGAATAGACTTGGTATAGAGTCCTTAAACGCCATTTGTGTGTCGCGAGTGTCGTTCCGATCAAAAGGAATTGACTGTACCTCTTTTAAGGTCACGAATGACCATCTCCGCCGGCACAACACTACAATGTATGCAAGAAAGTAGCTGTTGTCACCTTATCTTTGATTCCTTGACCATGCTAGTCGCATATGATTGCAACTATTTCTAGTTTAGACTAGTCATCTGCATTTGATTTATTTTTGTTAACTAATTATACCTGTATCTTGAAATATAACTTTGTTCGCATTTGTAGAAAGCTGTGATACTATCTATCATGTTCTACTTAATTTCCCTTGCATAGGTAACTTTGAATTTTGAAGTTAGCGCGCCAGGTGGGTGGAGGGGAGGGAGAAGGGAAGCTAGGAAAAGCAACACTGCAGACAACTGCGCAACGAAAGAGTTGTAATTGGCTGCGGAAGGGTTGATTTCAGGCCATGTCTCGTCAAATTGGTCAATTTCGACTAATTTGATCAAAAATCCCATTTTTTTCTCAAAATTCCCTTTTTCCCATTCGCCTTACAATTTCCCATAATATGGGATTTTTCCCACGACATCGCAACACTGGTTGAAACCCCCCTATAATCTAAATAGAGTTGTTTTATCTACAGATAACACGATCTTGACCCTTGTCACTTTTTAACTTGTCGAGGCTGGGGGGCTCCGCCCCCCAGACCCCCCTTACTCCACGACAGAAGTGATCAATCTGCAGAAAGCTCTATTTTTCGGCTATAAAAACTGAACCAGTTGAGCTAGGATGGTGAAATTTCGCGTGTGCCGAGCCAAGGACATACCCAAAAAGTGTGCCAAATCTCACCGAGATCGACCGAGCCGTTCAGGAGGAGTAGTGCGGACACACAGACAGACGGACAGACGGACAGACAGACAGACAGACAGACAGGAAATTTTTTTTAGCCCCATTGGAGTAACAGGCTTCGCTATCGCTCAGCCAATAACATAACAAGCCTTAAAAATAAAAAAATATTTTTCATTGCTTGCTCATTTGGTTAGGTAGGTGTACGCCAGACTGTGTCTTGTCGTAACAGGCTTCGCGATGCTGCGCCAGTTTCGACAATCCACGCCTGGCGTATACACCTACCTTGACCTGCGGCGCTCACCTCCCTTCAGCAGGCGGCCTTCCTTGGCAGACCGTAGAAATGGGCGTGATCCCCTCAAAAAGAGCATTTGGTCATTAAAATCTTCACTAATGGGGCTAAACGTTCGGTCGGAGGTCTGAATGGGTTCTATTTTCGTCATCAGCAGCCTGCAAAACACTTAAAACGACATGGAACTTGACAAAAAGTTGAAAGTTCCAAAAAAGTTGTCTTTTTTCTGCCGTTTTTAAAGTGTTTTTTTGTTAATATGACCGAATGGATTGAGATAGAAAGCTGAATTTTGGTGTGTGGCGAGCCAAGGATATGCCTAATGACCCTGCAAAGTCTCAGCAGAATCGGCTAAGCCGTTTAGGAGGAGTAGTGCGGACACACAGACAGACAGACAGACAGACATGAAAAACTTTTCAACCACACTGGAGTAACAGGCTTCGCTATCGCTCAGCCAACAAAGTAAAAACAAAGGAACAACTTTTAATTGCTATTCCCAACGGTTTGTATCTAAATTTTCCTTAAGAGGAAAAGTTGTTTCATCATCTGAATCATTTTCATATTGAGGCACAAGCCTTGGTGACGTGACGTTACAGCCAGCCAAGCCAAGCCAGCCAAAGCGAACGGAGCTGCAGCGCTGCCGCTGCGAGACAGTGTAGCGGTCAGTAGCAGAGTCAGTCGCGCCGCTTCGTTTGCCGATCGCAGAGTATTATTGTGTCTGTCTGGCCCTACGGCGCCGCCACGCCCGGCCCCCGCCATGCCGGTGCCGCCACCCTCGCCGAGACCGAGCCACCCTGGCCCGCGCCGCCGCCCACAGTGTGACGGATTCGCCAAAAACGGGACAAAATCCATTTTTTCAAGTATGAGTAACAATGAAAATGACTAGCACATGTTGTACGCGAATGTCCAATCTACAAAACGCCGTTTCAATTTTGTCGATACCTACTCCCAACGGGAGAGCGTAGCCGCGACTTCAAAGTCAGCGCTTTGAGCGCGCTGTCCGGGGCAGTACTGGCCCGATGAAACGTTGGTCGTATTTGAGGCTGCGCACAGGCCAAACGAATCGTGCTAGCTAAAATCAGAGTAGTGCGTTGGAAAGGGCGTTACTTTTTCTTCAAAGTAGGTGAACAGTGAAGCCATCATTGACACAGCATCGCTTGAAAATCGCATCAACAAAACATGGTAGAAAAACGACAAACGGAAGACGACTTGCGATTTCTCATTGAGTTTCAAACCGAGTCCCGCCGAGTCCCGCGATGATTTTGGTGTTAAAATAAAGCTTAGACATCCCTCTACAAGAACCATTTGAGTTTGAGCGCTACTATGCGCTACCCGACTGTACACAAGCAACAAAGCAGCCGCGCGCACGCGCTGGCCCGCCCGGCCGGATGGCCCCGAGACGAGCATGCTGCGCGGCCAGCCCGGTGCTGCGCCAAGTGGGCGGGCGGCGCAGCTGTGGCCGTGGTGCAGCACTGGCGTTGACGGCGGCGGCTGAGATCAGTTATTGACACGGTCAAATCAAGTGGAAGGTGCTACTGCTACGTCTTTGTTCTCCCTGCTCATTGACATCGCTTGCTGAGGTATGTCCTGTATGGGAGAACTCCCATAAACTTTTATAATGTATGTTCCGTCCATTTATTTCGTAACGCACTGGGGGGGGGGGGGGTAAATTCCACCTGCGTAACGCTCGGTCTACGGGGAACGGGGGGTTCAAGCCAGCGTAACGTTACGCTACTCACACTAAGAGAGTACTATGAAGGACAAAAGAAACAGACCCCCCTAGTGGCGATACTCCGCGCGCGAGGTCGTTGTAAGGTGCTGCCCCCTGGCAGCAGTTGTCTGCTGGGCAAGCCTCGTCCGCCCACTAACAGATTTTAAATCGTCGCAATTCGTTATTTTGGCGGTATTGCGGCCCAAGATCGGGCTGGTTCGATTCAGAAACATTGCAGAAATCGAGCCGGCAACGCACGACGGTTAAAAACGACTCATCAGATTAAAAAATTGAATATTCCCCGGAGTGAGGTTATGGGCGGCCATGACGTCACCAGCTGCGTCATACCTTCTCGCGAAGTATGATGAATATCCCGTATACCATGGGTTTACCGCAGCCCCCCGAGAAGCTACGGAATCAGCGCACCGCCTGCAGTGAAGCGACAACAAGGGTATACGAGTCACCAGCGGTCTCCTTACCATCTGAGAGTCAAAAGCCGAACGCTGGTGTCAAATAAAAGGCCAAAGACTAAACCCGTATACCTCAGGGTTTCCAAACACTGCGTCGCTGCTACAGGCTCGGAGGGTTGCGACCACATCAGTACTGCATCATGAATGCAGGTCACACACATTCAGGTTTCGACCTGTCATCCACTGCCCAACTCCACATGCTGAATGTCGAGCCAAGTCCCTAAACCCGTATAACCCGGGTTGTCCGCACTCCGCGAAGGCTTGTGACGCAGGCCAAGCACCTCCAGGCCGACGGCAACAAAGGTATACGGGTCACAAGGTGTCACGTTGCACCCCGTGACGCACTGCGCGGTCACGGCTGCCGGGTGCCCCACCGAAACCTTGAACCCGTATAACCCGGGTTTTCCGCACTCCGCGAAGGCTTGGGACGCACGCCAAAGCACCTCCAGGCCGACGGCAACAAAGGTATACGGGTCACAAGGTGTCACGTTGCATCCCGTGCGCACTGCGCGGTCACGGCTGCCGGGTGCCCCACCAAAACCCTTTGAACCTGTATAACCCGGTTTCCGCACTCCGCGAAGGCTTGTGACGCACGCCAAAGCACCTCCAGGCCGACGGCAACAAAGGTATCGGGTCACAAGGTGTCACGTTGCATCCCGTGACGCACTGCGCGGTCCGGCTGCCGGGTCCCACCAAAATTGAACCTGTATAACCCGGTTTTCCGCACTCCGCGAAGGCTTGTGCGCACGCCAAAGCACCTCCAGGCCGACGGCAACAAAGGTATAGGGGTCACAAGGTGTCACGTTGCATCCCGTGACGCACTGCGCGGTCACGGCTGCCGGGTGCCCCCCGAAACCTTGAACCTGTATAACCCGGTTTTCCGCACTCCGCGAAGGCTTGTGACGCACCCCAAAAGCACCTCCAGGCCGACGGCAAAAAAGGTATACGGGTCACAAGGTGTCACGTTGCATCTCGTGACGACTGCGCGGTCACGGCTGCCGGGTGCCCCACCGCCGCCGTAAAACCCGGGTTGTCCGCACTCCGCGAAGGCTTGTGACGCACGCCAAGCACCTCCAGGCCGACGGCAACAAAGGTATACGGGTCACAAGGTGTCACGTTGCATCCGTGACGCACTGCGCGGTCACGGCTGCCGGTGCCCCACCGAAACCTTGAACCCGTAAAACCCGGTTGTCCGCACTCCGCGAAGGCTTGTGACGCACGCCAGAGCACCTCCAGGCCGACGGCAACAAAGGTATACGGGTCACAAGGTGTCACGTTGCATCCCGTGACGCACTGCGCCGTCACGGCTGCTGGGTGCCTGGAGAGGATACTGCGTGTGTCAATTTTCTCAATCGTGGTGCAAATACCGGCGTTTGCACTGCTTTCTGTCTTGTTTGACTAACTTTCGTCTTTTCTCCCTGGTTTAAAACCCTTTGGGCAGTCAAGAATTTAAAAAAAAAACAGCTGGACCCTAAACTGTTGGATTCTCCCTGTTTTGGTTTGAAGCATGGGGGAAGATTGTCCCCAAGGTAAAGACAGTTGTGTTTAAGTATTTTCCTGATTTGAATGCTGCCACTGCAGAAAAAAAATAGATCTTGATGAGAGGATCAGTCTAGGAAAGTGAGTAGGTATTTTATGTAAACAAAAAAAAATTCATTTGTTTATTGAGTAACAGGGGGAATACAAAGTCATAACTAAACAATTTTTTAACACACTATAAATTTTTGTCTATTTTTTCTGTGTAAAGGGAAAAATTAATTACAAAAAAAATATACCTCCCCTGCAGCAATGAAAATTGTTAAAAAAATTACGTTCCCTTAGTAC